ATGAGACAAGATGAGGAAGAATGGTGCAGAACATGCAGTACATGTTGTGCTAAAAGGGGACCCAAGCATAAGGGACGTACGCCAATGAAGTTATATCAAGTTGGCACACCAATGGAAAGAGTAGCCATTGACATTGTTGGTCCTTTGCCCGAAACTCGTGCTGGAAACAAGTGCATTTGTGTGGTGATGAATTATTTCATCAAGTGGCCTGAGGCATATCAGGAAGGTACAACTGTAGCTTCGGCAATTAGTGATTTCTGCTTCAGATTTGGTATGCCATACGAACTGCATTCAGATCAAGGCCGTAGCTTTGAATCAGCTATGTTCCATGAATGCTGCAAGTTGTTTGGCATACGAAAGACCAGGACAATGCCACTTCACCCACAGTCTGGTGGAATGGTAGAAAATTATATTGAACACTTGAACAGGAATTGGCAAAGTTTTGTAATAGCCGCCAAGATGACTGGAATGTCTTACTTCCTCCACTGTTGATGGCCTATTGGACAGCAGAGCATGAAGCCACTGGATACAGTCCAGCAAAGTTGATGTTTGGTCGGGAACTTCGGTTGCCAGTAGATCTGTTAACAGGATGCCCACCTTATGAAGAGTTGCCTGAAAATGTGTCAGAGTTTGTGAAAGTGTTATCAGAAAGGATGGATGATAATGTTACGACAGGAGGAGTCACGTGACGCTAGTAACACGTCATATTCTCGAACGTTCACGTCCCTTCCTGAAGTTTCAAGAGGTTACCAGATATGCAGTTGTCTTTTTTTATATAAGCCACCAAGAAATGACAGCAACAAGGTGTAATTGACAGTTGGGTTGAGCACGTGAGATGTTCATTGTGAATTATAGCGTTTGTTATAGCGCGAATGTGGAAATTAAGTGTATTGCAAAGTTGTATTCAGAAATAATAAACCAGTTTTATTTAAGAAAGGACTTGTATCGCTAAAGTTTCTTCGGAAAGAATTTTTACGGAAAATTATCTAACGACCAGAGATGTAACAATATTCTCCATCAAGTGCATTGAAACTTGAGAACGTCTGCTGATTCAGTGAAGTTATCTTATGATAAGAGATCTACTGAAGTTAGTTTTGTACCAGGAGACAATGTGTGGTTGTATAATCCCAAGCAGACCAAAATAAAGTCTCCAAAGTTCTCTTCTCCATGGGAAGGCCCATATGACATAGTGGATCGTCTCTCAGATGTGACTTTCCGAATAAAATGTGGTCGGCGAGGTAAGCCAAAGGTGGTGCATGCCAACAGGCTTTGGTGTTATCACAGTCCAGGACATTTCAGCTGGGATGAAGTGAATAATGGAACAAAAGATGCCACTGAAGATGTGTTACCTGAAAAGCCACTGTCGAAGAAGAAATTCTACCCAGTTTTGAGAAGGAAAACAGTGAAGCCCTTGATGAAATTACTACCACTGATGTGACTATTACCTTGATGGAGCAGATGAACCGCACGTGAAGCAGAAGCCAACGAGACAGAGACCTGTATGGAAGAAGATACGTCCCGTAAAATTAAGAGACTTTGTTGAATTTTAATTTTGTGATTGTAAATTCTG